TTATAACCGTCAAGATTACGTTGAAACATTTCTTTACCAACAATACTTGCTGAAAATGTAGTTTTTGTTGACATGTTATATTTCGTGCTCACAAGCAGCTAATAAATTCAAATTATTAGTAGAAATTGGTTTTTAATTTATGCTTTTCTGAAGTAACTTTTACGTTTTGGAATAGCGCATAGGGCAGGATAATTCCGGGTGTTATTACAGTGAATGTTAATCCATAAACCGGCAGCGGTTATTACCGCACAATGGCCTTTGGTCGGTGCTGACGTGACAAAGTTCTCGTCTAAAATTCTGGTTTCTTAACAATCACCGTAAACGTATCCCTATTTTCAGCTGAAATCTTTGTTTAACATTCAAAAACTATTGTTGTTTCTAAGTATAAGAGAGCATAATTTTTATTAAATATATGTTAATCTTTACCATATGCTATTGCGAATCTAAAAATAAAGACATTTTCTTTCTTTGTGCATAAATAAAGAATGCAACTTCAAAAACGAAGTAGTAATTCAATATAAAAACTCTATAAATCTTTTTTTTAGTATAAAGTTTGCTAAACTGCCACAAAAAAATGGCTTAACTTCAGGTTAACAGATGTTTTCATTTTTTTTTTCTGTAAATCTTTCTACTGCAATAAAATCTTAGTACAGAAAAAAAAAGATTTTTATTCAGTACTAAAACTGCATTTTTGATGCTGTTAGTTTGCGGTTACTAAGACTGCAACAAATTTTTTAATGTAAAAGACAACCCACAAAAAAAGTTGAAAAAGTACTTTAGTCAATAAACTTTAACTCATTATTTTCAGCCATCATTTCTTATTTATAATTTTTAGCAAAGATATTCATTATATGAAGTCACATTTAACTCTTTTTCTTAAAAAGTTTCGCAACCGGAATTTTTTAAGCAACTTTTTTTCATCGGTCAACTCTGATATATTCAAGCATGTTGCAATAAAATTTGAATACTGTTATATTTAATTATTAAACAGACTTTGTTGAAAATGTTAAAAGTACAGTACTTGTCTTAAAAAACATTCAAGAGATTTAAGCCATAAATAATTTGCAAAAGTTCAAATGTTAGAATCATTTGAGACTACTGAACGACAAGCGTAAAAATTCAAAAAAAAAAGGACAGAATAGGTTGAATTTAAATCCAAAAATGGTCTTATTACTTACTCAATTTGTCAACAAATATATTTTTTATGAGTCTACCTATTTTATCAAAATTCAAAATAACGGTATGTTAGAGAAGACTAAAGGTCTATCAAACCTTACCACTTTTCAAAACCGATAGTGTAAATTCGCTTCGAATCTTTCATGCTTGTTGTCGAAGCTTTCTTAATTAGAATTAACTTATTTTGTAATTATACTTTTGTAGCTCTTTTACGTTTTATAACAGTTCATATGATTGTCAGATGCTCCTACTAATAAGAAGTTTAAAATAGGCAACTGAGAATGAAATACTGCAGTGTTCTGCATTCCAACGTCGGCATGGTCTCTTAGTTGTTGCTTTATGACAGAACTTTCAAAAGCTTACCAAAATTGGTGTACTTTACCATAGAGTTATCACCAAGCCAAAAGAATTTTTTCTCGCTTGGATAGTATCGAATACCTATTAGTGCTGAGCCATTTTCTTCATTTTCACTCAAGTGCTTTGCTATCATACTGTTCACCTAAAGATCACTTGCCTAACATAAGATAAGTCGAATTATTCACGAATGTTAAGCACTGGTGCATTCCATTTGAGTTGATTTGTTAATGCTGTCAAGTGGCAGGTAAAATAGACAAACTTCAATTCTTCACTGTTACTGTTGTCAATTTTTAGTCTGTTTACAACTTCTTAGAAACATAAAATTACGCTAGAAAAATAAAAGATAAATATACTTGTTACATCTTTGCCATTATTAGCAACTATTTTTAGTTTAAACTAATTAAGCAACAAGTTATTTGAGAAACAGATCAGTTTTATTTTAACAATTTGCGTTAGCAATTTAAGATGTTTACAAAAATTAGGGTAATTTTTGCTTTACCATTTTTGTCTACAATTACTGAGAGGTGTAGTTCTGTAGCAGATAGTTGTGAATGTAACTGATAGTAAATCTGTTTAAAAACATTGTTAGCTGAGAATAAAAATTAAAAGAACGAGAAAAGTTACTCGTCGAAGAGAGTTTAGATTTTAGAACTACAAAAAATACTGACTTCTGCATTATGAATAGAAGCCAGAAAACCACCAACTCCCGCTGCACAGAATTCCATCGCTTCATTAACTGTGGCACCAGGTATGTTGTCTTCTGGGAAAATTTCATAGCAGTTGTTTATATCGCATAAGTTTGCTGCAATAATGGCACACTGTTTGTTAAATTTACTGTGTAAGGTCAGCAGTATTCCAGTTAGTTTCTAACAACTTCGTTTTTCAGGCTTTATTGACGAAGTATGGTCTATGCTTCTGGCATTTGACAGATAATAAAGATATTACTGTATTAAAGCTTATCTACTTATGACAGTTCTAAATAATTTTAGAAAATAACAAAAAAATTAAAGCTTTAACTTGTTAAGTTTATTATTTATTACTTTTATTCTTTTTTAATAACATCTTTAAAGAACTTACACAACGTACTACCGATCAAGCTTAGCAAGTAAACTACCACATTGAGTTTCCAGGACATACTGTCACTAACTTTCCTTTTTTTTGCTGCAAAAAAACAAAACTATTATTTGTAATCATAGAATAAAATCAGATATAAAGTGGCCACTAATACCGCTGGTGCAGAATCACACAAATATTCCTAATGGATTTCTGAAACAGTTTAAGAATTATTTAAAAACCGAAAAGATTAACTGTCATCTAAGTGGGATAAACATTAGAAATAAGACCAAATAATGACAAGACAGATTCACAGTCTTCCAGTCTAGAGAAATGAAAGACTGTGAGCAGCTTATAGAGTAAACCATTTAATAAAAAAGTGTTTTTTTTTTT